TTCATATCTATCTCCCCAATTTCATGTCTCCCCTTCCTCCCCCAACCTATGCTGAACTGGGGCAGTATGCACAATACACCAGTCTAATTTGTTTTTCAGGGCCTTTGCTCATTCAGCTTCCCCTGCTTGCAATACACTTTCTTTATTGATCTTACAAACAATTTTTCTTCTTTTAAGATTCTACTCTAGCTTTTCTCAGTCCTCATCTAGGAAGACTTGACCACTCCCTCAGGTGTACCTCCACTGTACCCACTTACATAATTTTATTCAGCACCCATAATACTTTTTTAAAAAATATTTTCATTGCTTTTTTAGAGAGGAAGGGAGAGGAAGACAGAGAGATGGAAACATTGATGAGATCGTCTGCCTCCTGCATTCCTCCTACTGGGGATCGAGCCTGCAACCTGGGCATGTGCCCTGAGTGGGAATCAAACCAATAACCTCTGGGTTCATGGGTCAATGCTCAACCATTGAGCCACATCAGCCAGACTCACCCATAATACTTTATTGCACTTATGTATTTGCATAACTATTCTTTGTCTTATAAACTCAAGCTTCAGGAAGGCAGGGCCTTTGAATAATTAATATCTCTATCCAGAGTACCTAGTCCTGTGCCTAGCATAAGGAGACAATAAATATTGAATGAACTGATGGATACTTAATGAAAACAAAGCAGTGGGCAAACCCAATAAGACACAATAAAATCTTATCAATTTACTTTGAGGATCAGGCCACTATGAATAGTAAAAAATATGATTATCTATTAGGCTAAGGTCAATATAATTATATTACTTTGTAATATATCCAGTGACTCCCTCCTCTGTCCTATGATGTCTCCTTTTGGGCTACAATTAGACATTGTGCAGACCTCTGTTATATACCACTAACCATGCTGCTTTATAATGCTCTTTATGTATCTCTTTCCCCCCACTAGACCAAGAGCTTCTTGACCCTGTCTTATTCATCTGTATATCTCCATCGAATAATCCATAGTAGGTGTTCAATAAGTATTTGTTGAATTAAAATTAATGAAGTTGGACCAAGCTAATCAAAGGAGTGTCTTGTAAAGGCCTGGGGATTTATCTCAATGACCATGAGAATAATTTTTGTCTTACTATATTTTAAAGATACACAAGGGACTGACATTTACAGACATTTAAATTTTCTACTTGCTTTAGCACAGACACACTTTTTTTTCTTTTTTACCAATGTCACAAATATAAACTCCAGCTCAGCTGAAGTTTCTGAATTATCATAGATTTCAAATTAGGGAAGTCCAAATTAGTGAGGCTTTACCATACTGTGCCTTGCCTTGTTTCATTTTTGTTGATATTCATATGCATCTGGGTTTGGACAAGGCAGGCACTTGTGGATGTGACTAATCTGTACCAGTTTTTATGGACCTGATGAATTTTCTTTTAAATTCTTAATGTTGTTTATGATTTGTAATTAGGAAAAAAATTAAACTATAAGCCAAATTCTCTTACTTTCCATGCTGTTACTACAGTTTAAATCATTTAAATTACAGGGATCTCAGCAGATTGCTTGCTTTTCTTCTTATCTTAATTACAAAGCTTTTGTCTTGGGGAACAGTAAAAAAAATGGGATACCCTTGGCTGGTGTGGAAAGGGAATGGTGGGGAAGGAGGACCTTTCTTGTGTTAACTTCATAGGTAATGCGGTGATTTCCTTATGGTATTCCACTTTAGAAACGTGCTTACAAGACCTATGTCCGAGCACTTCCTCTGCTGAAGAAAATGGGAATCAATTCCATTCTCCTCCGTAAAAGCATTGGTGCTCTTGAGGTGGCCTGTGGCATTGTCATGACCCTTGTGCCTGGACGTCCCAAAGATGTGGCCAACTTCTTCCTGCTTTTGCTGGTGTTGGTTGTGCTCTTCTTCCATCAGCTAGTCGGTGATCCTCTCAAACGCTATGCCCATGCCCTGGTGTTTGGAATCCTACTCACCTGCCGCCTGCTGATTGCCCGAAAGCCTGAAGACCGGTCTTCTGAGAAGAAGTTCTCGCCCCAAGGAAACATAGGAAATGCGGGGAAAGCAGAGGAGCAGCCCTCCTTATATGAGAAGGCCCCTCAGGGCAAAATGAAGCTGTCATAGAAAAGTGGAAGTGCAAAAAGTGGACCTTCCAGGCAGTTGCCTCCATGACACCCAGGAAGATGTCACTGTGTGTTTTTCATTTGCTTTATTTATCTTGGGGGGGGGTTGAAGGGAAAATATAATCTACAAGTTAATGGCCCTGTTAGTTTGTGTACACCTAAACCCTAAAATGACCTCCCCACATAGACAGACATATGTGCACCATCTTTAATCACTCTGGGGAACTCTCACATCTTGCTGCATGTACATGTATATGGCTAACTACTGAAGTGTTTTTGTGAGATGGACTCCAGCAAGCATGTGACTGTGAGACTGTATGTGTGGGAAAATGTATTTACTGTGTGTGTGCATGCACATGCGGAGGAAAAGGCTCTGATCTTGAACTAATCCTGCATAGGTATCCTTCCCTTTATAAACCCAGTCTAGTGAAGACAGAATAAAATAAATCTCCTATAAAGAGAATCTACTTTCGGTATAAAACAAATGATGTATTCCCATGGGATGGAGGAATCCCTTGATAGATTAAACTGAAAACTTAAACCTACCACTTTAAGGAAAAGGTCGTTCAATTTAAGGCACTGAGTTATATGTAAAATTAATTTGCCTCTACTTTTAACAGTTGTTTAAATTTTAAATACTCCATATTGAGTTTAATTAAAATAAGGAATATATGCAGTCAATAGATAATCTAGTTCTTCAAGTGATGAAATTGAAAGTTTCACCTTGCTTTTGTCCAAGCCCAACCTACTAAGCTCACAGTTTGAAATTGAAGCAGTAAACATGTGTTTTTGTTAATTTTCTTAAGCCAAAAACTGGCTCACTTCCATTATTCTCAGCAGCTAACCAGGATTTGGCAGCTTCTCCACTGTTGTGGCTGAGGGAGCAGGGATTAGTCCTGTTAGAAGTCTGTGAATCTCAAACTGTTCTCTTAAATCATGTGACATTTGACCGAAGAGTTGTACCCAGTGTTTCCCTGACAAATAGATTCACTACTCTTATTGAATTTTCATTGAACTTTGCTAGTGTAAGCAGAGATCTAAGTTACCCCCAATGTTGTCGCCTCTGCACTTCTTTATTATTCCAGTGGGTGGAGTTTAGCTGAGGGAAGGACATTTGATATGGGTTAGTTGGATCCAGCAGTATGAAAATTTGCTTTCTTCATTACATACTGATGTTTCTTCTTGTTAGATGTGCTTTGATGGTTTTGATATTATTGTGCCAGGGATGGGAAAAGGGGTGGGGGTGTTTTGTGTGTGTGGAGTAAATTATTGTATTTCTTCAATGTCATTGTTCTTATTAATTGATACCTCTCTGTCTTATTTCTCTCATTCTTTCAAAATAAAAAAATTGAAATTTGGAGGAAACTGTTGGGACAAATATTGAAAATCTGGGAAGTAAGGGTAATATCAAGGGATTTGGGCTCTTTTTTGCCTGGATAAGGGAGAAGAAAGAGAAGGGGATGTATAGTCACTTAATATATTAAGATTACCAATTTTCCAATCTCATTTAGGTTCCTCCACACCTCTGTGATAGAAAGCTATAGAATTAGGATCTCAATGCAATTTCCAGATTTGGGGAATTCTGCTTCATTAGGTGATGCCAGGGGAAAGTAGAAGAATGATTTCAGTGAAAATTGCAGGTATATTAAATAAAGATGAACCAGTTTCTCTCACTATATGTGTCCACGAAGTGGCACAAGTTCCAGTGCCACAGACTTGTCACATTAACCAAGTTATTTCCTCACTCAAGGCCCCAGTTTCATCATCTACAAAAAAGAAGGGGGACTGAAAGCTTAAAAGCCCTTCCAATTTACAACTGAGCCTATGAAATGATTAAAATGACTCTTGAGAAATGTTCAGTTTTAGTAGAAAAGGAAGAACAGCTACCATGGAAATATTGAACACTCATTTCTCATGCATTATTAAATGAGTTCCTTAAAGTGCTCTGAAAAACCATACAAATATAAAATGTGATAAAGTCATTTCTGCTGTAATCTCCCAAATACATCAACTTAACCTGTGATTCTTCATGTCTCCCTAAAATAGCCAAGTTTCCTTCTACAGTTTTACCTACAGTTTATAGATATGTTTTGGCTTCAAAAAATCAGCGAGAGCTGTTAAATTTATATCTTTCCTCTCTGATTCCTAGTCTAGTAAGAGATTAAACTAGGGACTACGCTCAGGTCTCACACTAAACCTTTGTTGCTATTTTAGCCAATTTCTTTAAGGTCCATCACTCCTCAAAGTTAGGAATCTTTATGTGTAGACTTGGCTGGTTATGTGCAAGGTGACACATCTGGCCCAGGACACGTTTTTAGCAAACCCTGGAAGGTATGGGTACCCATCCTCGGTAAAAGGAGGGTAGATCCAGCCTCCCCCCCTCCTTCCCACCTCCTAGTTTCACATGGGGAAAATGATAGCTATAGAGGTCACAGACCCTTTAACCTAAGTCTCTTGCCCAGAATAGGAGAGGCAGTCTTTACTGCAAAGTTTGCAGTTTCATATTTTCCCGCCAAGTCGCGACGTTTGGGGTCAATCTGGGCAAAGCCATCGCTATAATTAATCTTGTTAAGTTCAAGAATTCAGATGCTGATCTGTTTTACGCAAAATTAAAGAATGTGAACATTATTAGGACAGCGGAAACGCCAGCCAATCAGTTTGCTCCTGCCGCAACGGCCCACTCACCACAAGTACCAGGGACCTAGTGGGTGGGGCGAGCGACGCACCGAATTGGGTCTGCGTCAGCGTCAGCATCAGCGTCAGCGTCAGCGTCAGCGTCAGCCCCAGCGCGCGCGCCGCCTTGCGCTGTAGAGCTGAAACCCAACCAATCAGACTTCAGCAGAGCGCAGCCGCTCTGCCCTGTCGCCGCCTGCGTCTGCGCGGAAGAGTATGCGCAGGGCGGGGCTCGCTCATTTGAATCCTGGAGGGGATGTTTGAACTCCAGAGGTTCGGGGACAGAAGAGTGTATTAGGTAAGGTACTTTTAAATACTGCGTGAAAGGGGGATTCCGAGATCAGAGAAGCTCTTTATCCTGCAAGATGTGGCTGGGGTAGGGTTTTCCCCGAGCCTGGGAAGCGGGCGGTGGGTGGGGGGGGGGGGGGGGGGGGGGGGAGGCGCCGGGGAAGCCTTGGGAAGATACGGGATCGGTCAACCAACCGGGTGGGGTCTGAAGCTGTTCGCTTGCTTTTCTTTGGAAGGAACATAGGAAACAACTCGGAACTTGGACTCTCCCACAGGTTTAGACACGCATATTGCTCTCCTGTTCTGGTCTCATCTGCTCTAGGGACGTGGGGTTGAGTGTCATTCTGACCATTCCCTTAGTTTTTGTCATTTGAAGCCAAAAATTCAGAAGTCTTCTGGGTTCCTCTCTTTCCTTCTCCCTACATCCAGTATTTTATCATAACCTTGCCCAGCCTATCTCCAACACTTATCACGAACACAATCATTTTCTACCTTTTCCACCGCTGTACATTAGACCTAGTTCAGGCTACAGTTACATCTCTTCAGGACTTCTGCAAGACCCTTTTAATTGCCTTGTTTCCACTCCTTGACCCCTAGCATTCTATTTTTCACACTGCAGCTAAAATGGCCTTAAAACATAAATCAGATGGCATCATTCCCCTCTCTAACACTCCTCCCTACCCGATAGTTGCCACTTAAAATCCAAACTCCTTACTCTAGCATGCACATCCCAGTATGGTAGTCCCTGGCTGCCTTTCTGACCTAATCTCCCACTACCCTCTGCCTCTTTCATATCACTACCTCTCCCTTTCCGACTGGTATTGCTACTGTTTTCCTAACAGACAAAGCTCTTGCTTCAAGGTCTTAGCAAGTCTTAGTTTTGCTTTTCCATGAAATACTCTTCCAGCACATCTTCACATAGCTGGTTCCTTTCTGGCATACAAAAGTCAGTTTAAAGGTCAATCAGGGACGCTTTCTGTGAACATTTATTCCAAAGTAGCTTCCACCTCATTTCTATCACATCACTGTGTATTAGTTCACTATTAGCTATATACTTCTTTATTGACTCACACCACCACCCCCATAAGTTTCATGAGAGCAGAGACCTTGACTATTATATGATCTTATCCCTGGTAGCTAGAACTGTGCTTGGAATATAGATGATGTTCAGTAATTACCTATTGAATAAGTGAGTTAATTAATGGGGAATTTTTCTGTTCTGATAATCCTTAGTTTGCACACCAGTTTGACTTTTGAACTATGCGATTTTAACTTAGCACTGGTAAAGTAGGGAGCATAAAAGATGAAAAGTAAAATTAAGGAGAGGTGGAGAAAAATAGGAGTGATTGGAGAAAGTAAGATTGAGTTATAAGATGGCTTAATTTTGGACATACTTATGTGATATAGCCATTTTAAGAAAATTGCTGTTACCCGTACTCTTACTCTTTTATTTTCCTCCAGGAAGGCCAGTTCAGCTGGTCAATGTTAATTGGAGAGTTGTTTCTCTCTGTTCCTATTTAGGTCAAGGACTTTCTGAGAAAGCTAACCTATAAGTTTTGTTGCCCAGATTTTTGTGAGTTTTTTTAAGGTGTACTTGTTGTATGTTAGGTAGTGTGTATTAAATGTTTAGAATACATTCAGATGTGGTTCTTGTCTTTGTGGAGTAGAAAGGGACAGTTTGGTTGGTTAATGGTAATGACACTTGTTTCTGCATAGAACATGTGCAGTAATGTCAGCTCGAAAGAGAGTTAAGAGCTCTCAGACACCAAGAACTTCACAACATAGTAATAGTTATCAGACTAATCTCTTGGCTTGGAAACTGAAAGAGGACCTAAGCAACTCAAGGAGCACCTCGAAACATGGACAAAACAGTCCAGTGGAAGATTCTGAACAAGCTGATGCTGATGAGCAAGCAGAAGATGCTCTGCAAATAGCAGTAAGATACTTTGAGAAAGGTAAGACAGATGGTTTTCCTTATGAAAGTCCTATTTCTATCAAAATATTCTAGACTTCTTTGTTGAGGAATTTTAAAGGAGAGCATATTTTTGCTCATTAATGTTTTTCTCTGCTTAATAGACATTTATTGAGCTCTTACTACATATGGGTATGCTAGGTACTAGTATACAACAGCAAAGCACATTCCTGGCAGAGCGGTTTCCAAATTGCTGCACATTGGAATCACCCGAAAATCTTTAAAACACACTGATGCCTGGCATCCACTCTTAGTTTGATTTATTGGTATGGGGATGCAACCTGGGCATTGGGACTTTTTAAAGGCTACTAACATGATTTCAAAGTTTGGGGAATCATGCCCTAGTACTG